AAAAAAAAACGAAAGAAAAAATATTACTGAAGGTGTTTGACTTTGTGAAGCTCTTCTTCCAGCTGAATGAATGCATGTCTTCGTGCTGCCGCTGGGGGGGCCGCTGGAGTTGTGCTTTAGAGAAGCTGTTTATTCAGCGGAGCTACACGTGGTTCTGGTCCAGAGTAAAAGAAGAGGAGAGAAGCCGTCAGACTGAGAAGCTTCCAGAGCAGCAGCATGTCTCTGTACCGCAACTCCGCCTGGTTCCTCAAAGGACTGACCGAGTTCACTAAGTAAGTTACTGACTCAGCTTTGTTCATCAATACCTAGTCTATCTGCGTTTTGGATGTTGGAAGTGTGAGCTGCTGCTGCTGCTGCTGCTGCTCAGCTGTGCATCTCGACAGGTGGAAGTCCATTTAGGCTGCTTACGGTTTTCAGATCATGTTGGACTTTTAGCTTCAAATTATATGATGAAGCGTTCAGATGTTGGCTTTAACAAAAAGAAAGGGTCCCCATGTGGTCCAAAAATGTATAACTTTTGCCATTTAAGATTTCAAATTGTCTATTTTTACGTCTATATATTGTACCAAGAGTCATGTGGTATAGCTAAATATATATAATCGATTGAAGATATGTGATTTACAGAGATTTTTCTTTGACTGTCAGTAAGTTATTATTATAATGGTATTATTATTATTGATGTATGTACTTGCTGTGTTTACTATTTCTTTTCTTCTGTTTATTCATTTATTTGACTTTTGTTATATAAAATAGTGAGAGGTCAGAGCTGAAGGTCCAGAGTTGGTTTGAAAAATACATACATTGATATTTTTTAAATAGAACTGTCAAACACTAATTCAGATTTATGAATTCAATGTTTCTATTTGTTCTTTATTCTGACATCTGGAATGTTGGAATGCTTAGTTAAGACACTCATTTGTGAATGATACCTAAGTTGTTTTAAAATAAACTGGGAAAAACTTTTGCTTCCTGCTATGTAGCCACTCGTGCGATCATTACCAAACTGTTCTGGTAACATTGAAACAAGTGAGGGTCGCTTTTTTTCAAACTCACGTGAGAACTTGACCTTTGCTTGTTTTTTGATGCAGTTTTCAGCCTTTGAATGCCACAGCATCACTGAACGACATGCTGCGACAATAGAAGCAAACGTTTAAATGTCAGGCTTGCTTGAATCAAACCAAAAATTACAGTGGCTTAGCAGGAGCTGTGGAGCTGCAGGGATCACTTATTATTAACCACAAACAGGTCCTCTGGGAGCTTTATTAGCACTATTTGATCTATCCTAGCCCCGGGGCGTCTTTCCACGTCAGTGTAC